CCCAGCGCAACTTGCTGTGAGCACCGCTGACCTGCGGCAGGAGCTGCCCTGCCCCGCGCCCGGAGCGGCTGCCGCGGCGGTACCGAGGGCCGGGCTGCGGGCGGCGGGGGAAGGTGTCCGGGCCCCGCTGTATTAATATGTGCCGTTCGCTGCTTGTTGACACAGTTATGTGGGAAATATCAGCTCGGGGAGGTGCTGGGAGCACGTGATCCACTCCATTCATAAAATACCTGGCTGTCCATTCACAGTGCGGCGCAGTGTCTGCATTCAGCAGCCGGGCGGATCAGACCTGCCGGGGAAGGGAGAGGCGGCCGGGCCGGCAGGTTTAGCGCAGAGGGCGGCGGAAAGAGGGCTCATGGCTGCGAGTCGGGAAATCGCTGTCAAGACGCGGGGGCGGGTGGGGGGGGGGGTTGTTTTTATGGTTTGTGCCCGTCCTTTTCCTCCCAAGAAGCCTTAGTTCGGAAGCACCTTCTCGCGGTACCGTCCGGCGCTTCAGCAGGGAAGCGTTTTATTCAGAAAACGTTGAAGTGTTTTCCCCTCCAGAAAGGCTAACTCAAAAATAAAAAGGCTGAAAATCGAATTCATTATTACGAACGTGTTCTCAACCCGGTGTGTTAATCCATTTGGGGTAACTTAGATTTTACTGAACAATGCTGCCTTACATCTGCAAGATACTGACATAGTGAGGAAGGAACTCGGTTATACCTAATGAGACATCTGAAAAGGTTGCCTAATACAAAATACAGGTAACAGTGCAGGCAACTAAATCGGTAGAAATCAGCAAAGCAGATCGTTTTTGTCTGTTTGCTTTGAGAATTTTACAGCGGATAAGCTGTCGTCGTCTCTCCTTGAGCTATGCCGCAGCTGAAGAGTCCTCTGAAATATCAGAATAACAGAGAAATATTCTTAATATGGCATGAACTGCTTAGAGGTCAGTGTATCAACTTGCATTTTAAATATTTTGTAGTCTTTCAAAAAATAAAATCGATTGAAACAGTGAGGAAGGATCCCTGAAGCAGACAATGTATTTGATATAACTGTTTTGTGGTTGCCAGTGTTAAAATGGTGATGTTCACGGCTCATGAATACACTATTTCATTATCTTAACAAATTACACTGAGGTGATCCTTAATTACACATTCACGTAGTGGAGGAGGCTTCGTTTTTAGTGCAACCTAAGAGAATACCTGCAAGATTACTAATCTTTACTTGAAATGAGAAAGGAACGCTCACATACAGTATTTGGTTTGAGTTAATTCAGTGTTGTTTAAGAGCTAAATGTGTATAACCTTACAAAACAGTATAAACAGTGCTTTTTCTCAAATAAATAGATTATTTTTTTTTTTTGCTTCAGTTATTAGAATATCAGAAGAAAAATATTTCTCTTCTCGGTTTCATTTGCTTTTTTGACAGCCTTTTTGATGAGGCCAGAGTCATCGTTCCTCTTTGGTTCATTTTGCACATAGCACAAGGGTGTCACTTTAAATGATTGAGAAATATGATTGAAGCTCTAAATATACCATTTGTAAAAATAGGGCACATTTACAAATTGAAATTCATCATATTTTAAAAGTTCGCTGTGTTTAATTTTATCAGTATAATTGATGACATCAATGGCCTTGAATTCATTAACAAATCTCTTGGCATATAAGGGCGAATACGGGTACTTTGCAATGCATTTTGTGTCATTTTGGCTACCGGGAATATTCTGGTAATTGAGCATTATTCTTTGTTTATAAAACTTCATTTTATGGAGTAAGATATAAATATTTGCGGTGTCTAGAGTCTGATCTCAGTTAGTAATGTTAAATTCTCAATGGTGGTGGGAAAGATTCATTAAAAAGCTGCATTAAGGACTATGAGGTTTCTTGTCAGTCATGAATGTATGGAAGGCAACCTTATAAAATTCTGACTGCCATGGATGAATCTTTGTTGGTGATTTTTACATTTTTCTTGTAACGATGTTATTGTATTTGTCAGTGAGGTATTAGTTAAATGAGAGTATTTCTATACCTCCAGACAACTCGGTTTTTCTCCTCAGTGGTGTTTTGCAATCAGTGTGGTCAGCGTGAATACAGTGTGGTGCTCACAAATACTATCATTTTTTAAATGAAGGAATTAGTAGGATTTGTGGACTCATAGGTATGTTCGCAGCTCATGCAACTTAATAATGTCAGAGCAGGCAGGTCAGCAAAGCGCTGCACCGAATGCCTGTTTTGGAGGCAGGTTTTATTGCTGTCTGGAAATGCTACTGAATTTCAGCGTTAGGTGAAACAGAATCATTGTTACATTGCGTAGTCCCCATTCAGCAGGGATGAATGATGACAGGCTTAAGATGGAGTCTGAGTTGCTACTATTGAGAAGTAGGAGCACTGCTTTATTGGCTTGTTTACTTTCCCCTGTATTGTAGGTGGCCTCTCTATTTTTCAGGGAATGCTTGTGCTCGAGTTGTTTTTACATACTGTATTTTTACAGATTCAGACTGCCATATGCCGATTGTTTTGCTAAATAAATATAGGCAATCTTATATTCGTTTTCCTAGATAATTTAATTCAAGAGATTATAAATTAAAGAAACACAGAGTGCATACTAATTCTATATGCCGAACAACCTCTAGATTACCGTGTTATAAACATCCTCAAATGCTGATTTGAAAAAAGTAAACCCGAGTTACATTTATAAAACAAAATACTTACTTGATATCTTCATGTCTTCCTTCAGTATTTATGAAAATACTGCTTATACTTTAATTGTGCTTCAGAACTCCTTGCATTACATGCCCAAATACTGAAAGATGAGCATGAAATAATTTTGCAGAAAGTAAAGCCAACTGGTTTGGTTATATTAGTTCTGGGAGGATTTTAATGCTTTTCAGCAGGCTAATTTTCTTCCTGCTATTTAGGGCATATATAGACTTTGGAATTCTTCATCCTGTAATGTAGGGAGTTTGTAAAAAGAAGTAAGAATTTTATTTTTAAGAAAAGCATCTTTTAAACCAATCGATTATATGAAATAATTGCAATTCTGATATATTTTCTTTTGGGGGAATGGTTCTTTACAGAGTCCTGGGGAGGCTTTTCCAGTCTTAAAACTGCTTCTTGCTGTCTCTTTGGCTTTATGTTACGTGTCACTATTTTGAAGGTGAAACTGAATTTGCATGTTACATAATGTGGGAGTCAGGGGTGGGGTTTTTGTTTTGGTTTGGGTTTTTTTTTATATTATTTTTTATTAAAAAAAAAAAAGGTTCACCTTAGCAACATTTCTTGATTACTGTGGTATTGCAGAAAAACGCTTTCTGGATATTTCGGCATAACTGGAGCCAGCGATAATACTTGAATTAAAAAAATGACGAGTGTTTCCTGTGTTTGTTCATTCAAAACTTAATGTTCTTGAAGTGTTAAAGTGCCAGTGAGAA